TTCTTTCTTTCTTTCTTTCTTTCTTTCTTTCTTTCTTTCTTTCTTTCCTTCCTTCCTTCCTTCCTTCCTTCCTTCCTTCCTTCCTTCCTTCCTTCCTTCCTTCCTTCCTTTTTTTTCCATAGCAAAGGAAGTGTACAAACTTTTTAAAAAATTGACAAACCAAAAATTCATGGTTGGAAGGAAATTCTGCTGCAAATCTGGAGATTGTGAGCCAGGCCGGAAAAATGTCACAGCTTCCTTATGGAATTGTCAACTGTATCCTTATCAGTTTTAGGTCTTTTAACCTTAAATCAAGTTTATTGGTTGTTTCTTATCTTACAATCCTAAAGAGGAATTTGATTTTTGTCAACAACTTCAAATAAAGCCACTCTGTATTAATCTGCTAGTAAAACTGAAGAGATCACTGGTGTTTTGCATAATTACGAAGTTGTTATTTAACCTTTTCCTATCTAGTGGGGAATGGAAGCCAGTGAAATTACCCTCAGTCAGAAACTGGAATCCGTACAGTTTGTTGTCAAACCTTCAGCAACTGGTTGCCCATCAGCCCAAATCCAGTAATGTTTGAGAAGGGACATTCAGGGAAGCCATATGCAGAGTGGATTGCCCACTCTAAATTAGAGATTGAAATACAATCTCTAGTAAACATTTCCCTTTTCTCCATCATGCTACTTTTCACTACAGTATTTAATTACCCCAATTTGTGTGTGTGTGTGTGTGTGTGTGTGTGTGTGTGTGTGTGTTTGTACATACATGCCTTCAACTCCAGGAAACAAGTCCCTACAGTTTTCTTGGCAAGATTTCAGAAGTGGTTTGCCATTACCTGCTTCCTAGGGCTGAGAGAAAAAGACTGGCTCAGGGCTACCTAGATGGTTTTGGAACTAAGGCAGGCCTAGAACCAGGGTTGGGATTCTACTGGTCTGGAACGGTTTGGGCAAACCGGATGTTAATGTTACAGCTGGTTCGCCGAACTGGTATTTCAACTGACCGGCTGGCCCTGCCCCTCCCTTCCCTCCCCTCCCAGGAGGTAAGTTCAGGGTCCGCTGGAGGCTCTGGGAGGGGGGAAAACAGGCCTTCTGGAAGTCCAGAAATGGGCCTGTTTCTGGCTTCCAGAGGGCCTCAGAGCCCAGGGGAAGCTGTTTTCGCCCTCCCAGAGGCTCAGGGGAGGCCTCTGGACTCTTGGGAGGGCAAAAACGGTCTCTCCCAGGCTCTGGAGGCCCACCAGAAGCCAGAAACAGGAAGTTCTGGTAGGCCATGCCTACCATGGCCACACCCACCCAGCAGCCAGGTAGTGAACCGGTTGCTGGAATTTTTGAATCCCACCCCTGCCTAGAACCTACGGTCTTCTAGCTTCCAACATATGCTTTAACTACTACACCAAACTGCCTCTCTATCCCAACTTACTTGGGCAAATCTGCCCGGTATCGCATGGCTTGGTTTCTCTGTTGTATCCTGTGCAAGTGCCTCCACAGACAGGAGTTGGATTGGTGCAAGTTCGTTCCCTTAACTGGGTCCCAGTTTGACAGGTCACTGAGCAAGGTTTCCAGGCACTCCATTCTGACCATCCACCCATCACTGCAAGGAAAGAACAGCTGACATCAAGATTCGGGCACCCTGGAGATTCATCAGCCCTTGGACATAATATAAAGCAGAGGTCTCCAAACTTGGCAACTTTAAGACTTGTGGACTTCAACTCCTAGAATTCTCCAGCCACCTATGCTGGCTGGAGAATCCTAAGAGTTGAACTCCACAAGTCTTAAAGTTGCCAAGTTTGGAGACTCCTGATATAAAGCAATCCACATCCAACCACAGGAATTACTAAATTGCAAACACCCATTTCCTTGGGGGAGTGGGGGGAATTCCAAAATACTTACACACATGAGGAAGTGAAAGTATCAAAACAAATTATCACATAAGAAATGGTCATTTGTGGGCTTATTAGCCATCATTTTCTGGAGCTGTGCCCCAAAAATGCAAAAACATGGGATCTTTGTTCCACACAGAATCAACCATGTCCTGTGCAAATCATCAAACCAAGAAATCTGTCTTCAGATTACAGATATTAAAGGAAAACAATGGAAACATTTTGAAAAACCAAAACCTAAAGGTGTTGTTTGCTTGCTTTCAATTGTCTACTGCAATTCTCTTTAAAAACAATTTAGCTACCACCCCAAGCCAACACTTGTCTTGTGTTTTTCTGCCCATCAAAATAATTGCTGAAGACTTGAAAAATGAGAATGCTTGTGGTGTTTTTCTTCTTTCTAGTTCATTAATAACCTTATTTCATAAACTATAGAAATTCTATCAAAGCCAATATTATCCACATTGCCTACATACTCTCTCAAAGTGGGTGCCTCAAACATTGACTATCTCTATGGGAGCCCTAGTGGCGCAGTGGTTAGAATGCAGTATTGCAGGTTAACTCTGCCCACTGCTTGGAGTTCAATCCTGATCGGCTCAAGGTTGACTCAGCCTTCCATCCTTCCAAAGTCAGTAAAAGGAAGAGCCAGATTGTTGGGGGCAATAGGCTGATGTTGTAAAATGCCCAGAGTGTGCTGTAAAGCACTATGGGGGCGATATTGTTATTGTTATTTATGGATATAACTAAAATGTTCTAAGCTTATACAGGTAGTCCTCATTTAACAACCACTTGTTCGGGGATTGTTTGAACATACAACAGTGCTGAATGAGAAGACTTGCAACCAATTCTCATAGATGCAACCATCACAGTGACCCCTTAGTCACAAGATCATGGTTCTAGTGCTCGCAACCAGTTCATAACTGCAAATAGTTGTGACATCCTGGCAGCCATGCAATCGACATATGTGACCTTCTTTGCCAGCTTCCCACAAGCAAAGCAAAAATCAGCGGGGAAGCTGGCAGGAAGTCACAAACGGCGATCACATAATGTCACGCCTAATGACTACATGGAATTCATTTCACAATGGCAACCAAAACTGCCACAATGACCATTGTAGTTTTGGTACAGTCACCTGATGTTATGCTTCACAACCACCTTGCTTGGCGACAAGAGTTGTCGGTTACAATTTCCATCCTTAACTGAGGATTACCTGTATTTCAAATAAATAAGATGAGGTGTTGCTCTGCCTGAAGCTAAGCCTGACTGTGTCTGGTCCAGTTACTCAGAAATAAGCTTGTGTTTTGCTCAGTGGGACTGGTGTAAAATTGCAGCTACAGTGAGAATCTAATTTTAGGCTGATAGGAAGCTGTTGGCACTGAAGTGGGCGAGAGACCAAAAGCCCTCTAGTGCCTAAATTTGGAAGGACGCTCATGAAGTCCAATTCACATGTACCTTTTTCTCTCCAGGGTACATTCTACAAAAAAGAAAAAGGAAACATCCTGGAACATGGCATTAAAAGTTGATTGGGATTGGTGCTGACAAACTAACACTTGTGATGTCACAAACACCTCTCCCCCACAACTTCTGTTGTTTTTTTTTTTTTAATGAGGAAAAGCAAGATGGCATAAATGAATAAGTATTCAGGTGGTGCTTTGGAGGGGGAGATTCTCGAAATATCGCTTAAAATGGTGGGGATGGGTGGGTAGGACAGGTAACACTGCCAGCTAATTTAGAATCCTGCTTCTGAAGACTGCAAAATCTCAAAATTCAAAGTCATGCAAGGATAAAGAAATATGACCCTGGCTCATTTCTAGCTTCATGTTTAGGCAAAGATCAAGAGGAGAGAAAAATGTTTACCAGGGCAACATTCTTTCAGAAGGCAGGATTTCATTTCCCTGTCACGTGTGCCAATTGGACATGTCCCTTCGTGGTAGCCATAACATACGCGACTGCGCCGCTGGACACCTTCAGTGCAGGAGACAGAGCATGCACTCCATGAGGACCATTTACTCCACTGAGCTCCGCTAAAGGAAAAGCACAGCAAAGATAACTGACTTGGGTCAAGGTTTCCCCATAATGTAAAATCCAACCATGAATGATTCCATCAGATCAGATCAAGGATCTATCTAGCCCAGCATCCTGTTTCCCAACAATAAAAGAAATACTTAAGGAGCTTCAGTAGTCGGAGCTTCTTGTTGACAAGCCAACAAGAACCATGTTGACTAAGAGGAAAGGCCCATCTTTCCCCAGCATTGCTATTTTGATACCAAAGTAGCTGCCATCCAGACGCCTCCAAAGAGAGCAAGATATGAGCAAGCTTCTACTCAGGGTAGACTTAACCATTATTAATTTGTCAAAAAGTTGTCCAAATTTTTGATCATCATGACATGTTTTGTAATTTAACTGGGAATTGTATGTAAGAGTATCTGTCTTTCATAATTCCACAAAGAACATGGGGGGAGGGTGGAAGATCTGATTGCCAGAGTGTTAATTCAATGAACAAGAACAACATTTAGCTTAAATCTACTGTTACATTTCTTTAGAAGGAATAATCTGACATTAAAATAGAACATTTTGTTTCTCTAGGTGTTTCTCTGTACTCAGATGTGATGAAAGCTACGCATTGGTCACTTAACCAAATCCAGTGCTAGATAAAACAACAGGCAGAGAGAATGAAAAAAAAAATCTGGAAGTTATAAGTACAAAAATAAATTAAATTTTAAAAAAAATATATCGGAATGTAGGAAACAGCGTAAGTTTACAGCTACTTGTGGCTCATAATGGCTTCAATAAACCAGTGGCTTAGCATAGTTCATGGACACAGATCAATATTTAAATTAACCATTTTAATTAATTTTAATAACTTTTTAATTTAGGTTTTGATTCTAACTGCATCACTGTTCTTATGTTTTATAGTCCTCATTTTATTGAAATAATAGCAATAGCAAGTAGACTTACATACCAGCCCTTATTGCTTTACAGCATACTCTAGGTCCGTGATGGCGATCCTATTGCATGCATGCTGGAAGTGGCACGCAGAGCTACCTCTACGGGCACGGGAGAGGTTGCCCAGAAGAGCCCCACTGCGCATGTGCCGCCGCCCGACAACTGGTTGTCAGGTATCTGCCGCACATGTACGAGGGGGCAGACGCGTGTGTATGCGCAGAGACGTGTGGGGAGGTCACGCATGCATACGCAGGGACATGGGGGGCCCAGCACGCATTGCCTTCTGGGTGCTGGCATGCAAGGGCGTGCGTGCGAGCGCATGTGCAATTTTCGGCACGGGAGCTGAAAAAGGTTAGCCACCACTGCTCTAGGTGGTTTACATTGTCAGTATATTGTCCCCCAACAATCTGGGTCCTCATTTTACCAATCTTGAAAGATGGAAGGCTGAGTCAACCTTGAGCTCTGTCAAGATCGAACTCTAGTCTAGAGACTGTAGTTAGAGTTAGCCTGCAATACTGCATTCTAACCACTGCACCACCAGGGCTTTTAAATAAGTTGCCCTTAGTGGTGGGTCAAGTATAAAAGGGGAAGGCTGGGCATAAATTAAACACTTCTGTCAATGTGCATGTGGTGGAATATTGTTGTCAATGGACAAAAGGAGTTTTTGAATGTTTGGGAAGGAACTTATTTAGCCCTGCTTGGAGATAGCAGCAGGGGTGGGATTCTACCAGTTCATACCTATTCGCTAGAACCGGTTGCTAACATTCTAAGCAGTTCGGAGAACCGGTTGTTAGAAGAAATTACTGGCCTAATCCTGTAAGGAAGGCAGGAAGGAAACATTCTGGTGTTGCTTACAGAAACTGCCTCTCCGTTAACCCTTATTACATTCTTGGCATGACTAGACTTCCTGTCTCACAAACGTCTCTGGAGTTTTTTTCACCTCCTTTGCTGGTACTTTGCTTGTGTGGCATGACCATTCAAAGTTACAATGGCACTGAAAAAAGTGACTTATGACCATTTTTCACACTTACGACTGTTGCAGCATCCCCACAGTCATGAGAGGCCAGCAGAGGAGATGCGTGCAGAGGAGATGCGTGCCTTGGTGTGAGTGATATTGAGTTGGCCATGCCCAGCCAATAACATGACCACCAAGCGATGCCCACCCAATCACATGACCACCAAGCCACACCCGCCACCTAAGTCACACCCACAAAACCGGTTGTTAAAAATTTGAATCCCATCTCTGGATAGCAGGGATTGCAAATGAGAACTGCAGGCTGCTGCATGCATATTGCATGTGGTTACCCTATAGCCTCTCTTCCTACAGGGGAGATGAGATAAGCAACCCTAAGGGAAGATGCCCAGAACTCAACCAATGAGCAATATTTGGAGGGTTCGAAGAAAGTAGTTTTAGGACCACTTCTGCAGCATATGACAAATATGCAGTTAATTAGAACTGTCAGTGTTTCACTTACCGGCAGGATTGGCAGGCTCCGTTCTCGGTCAACTGGAAACCATATTGATCATTTAGGCAGCAGTCTTCCTGGGAAACTCCATCTCCCAATAAGTTACTGCAGGTCCCTGAGATTTCATCAAAAGTTTTGTAGCACAGAACATTCGCAGCCTCTGAAAAAGGAAACCCAGTTTAGCTCTGAGATCAGAGAGCCATTTCCCAGAGGTAGACATTTTTATCCACACCAGAACGGTCCAGAGGAAGGTGTAAGAGCCAAGGAAAGGACAGCAAAATAAAAATCAGAAAGCTGAGAGGATGCTTGTTTCTTTTAGAGTGGTTGTTTCTTTTCCATTTTCTACCTTTCATACCTCAGGAGCATTTAGTTGTCCATAATAGCAATTAGTCCCGTAGTTGGATAGGTATTCAAAATCATTAATGTCACTTCCCAATGAAACTGAGATAATTAAAAAGATATGGACATGCGCCAAAATGGATAAATTAACGTTGGAAATAAAAAATAAGGACAAGACTGAATACTATAAAGTATGGGATAAATTTTACCAATGGTGGGGGGAAAAGGAAGGACTTAAAATTAAATTTAAAATAAGATAAGGATGTTAAGATAGTAGATTAGAAATATGGAAAATTGCTGTAATGTATAAATGTATATATTATGTAAATTGGTATTATATGCTATCTACAATAGATATGTATGACAAATAGGTTTGCCAGGACGATTTCATCACGTTCATTGTTTTTAATGTTTTTGTTCAATAAAAAAAATTTAAAATAAAAAAAATCAATGTCAGTTTTGCTCAAATATCTGCATTTTTAAAAAGCCATTTACCTAGGACACAAATAAAATAGACATATAAAAAATGAAAGGGAGCAAATCCCTCTCTGAATGCTCTCCATAGGCAAAGGAAGGCAAATATATGTGTCCAGGGGTGGGTTTCTACCGGTTCTGTCCACTTCTGTAGAGCAGCAGACATAGAACCGGTTCTATGTCCGCTGATGTTTTTGCCCACCTGCCCACCCGGGCTCTTACCTGATTTTTATTTCCTGATTTTTCAACCTCAGCTGTCGAATGAGGCACAGCTGCAGTTAAAAAAGCAGGAAAAGAGGGCTGTTTCAAAGGCTGCTTCTCTGCACGATTTACAGGCGCGCAGCTTACAGCATGCAGGGAAGCACATCATAAATCACTGAACCTCGTGAATCCCGAAACAGTAGTTAACCCTGTCGTATCCCACCCCTGTATGTGTCCCATGATAATGTTGCAGGATCCAATCTGGGTCGCTCACCGGGACCAGAGGTTTTGTCTTCCGAACCTTTGGGCTCGTGCTAGAGAGTCCATCCACCTCAGAGAACTTCTCTCTCAGGGCTCCAGCACAAATCAGAAGGCTAAATGTCTGGTCCAGTTGACTAACCCAGATTGGATCTTGCTTTCCATAGATATCCAGATTATTAATATAGAGAAATAACCCAAGGCCTCACATTTTGTTCCACACCAAACAGAAAAGCCAAGTCTGTTATGAATGTAGGAGTAGATTTCTGCAACACATAGTTGCAGAAAAGGATATTTAAAAAAAAAACCTTTTCATTTGGGAGCGAGCTTGACTGACTCTTGAATTTTCTGCCTGTTCTGGAGATGGGATGGTAAGGGCAGAAAAACTGCGGTGTGGGGTACTGGAAGATCCCAGGGAAGAACCAGTTCTGTTTTCCAAACAAAAAAGCAGCTGGAAGAGAGGTCTAGGAGCAACTTCTGGAGACAAGGTCTACTATTACTGCTCCCTACCCTCCAATTACCACCATCGCCTCGAATTGCTGAACGTGGTCGCTTTTTAAATTTCCCACAAGATACTAAGATAGCAGCACCCCTGAGGACATACATTGGGGGGGTTAAATGGTGGCTAGACTCAACCACACCAAATTACTCCATTTGGGGCTTTCTTTTTAAATGGACCAGGATTACTCTGCTGCTTTTCTTCTATCTTTCCTTCTGCTTGAATCAGATTAGGGTCTTTGCAGAATCGTAATTGCCCTGATTCCTTCAATCATTTGATAGCTATGATGCTTCAATTTTAAGGAATGCTCACCAACTGCGCTTTTTATGTGTCTCTGCGACGTATCTATTGTTCCCATTCCCCTTGCCAGCTAAGCAAGGGTAACATTTCATGTGCCTAAGGAAGTGGACATTGATCTATGAAATCTTCTGCTGTAGTAAACATAAAAACACCATCATGCTTTATTTTATTTCTGATGGTAAAGATCTCAAGGTGGGATTTATGGAAGCTAGCTCCAGAGTGCAATTTATAAATCCTAATTCTATGTTGTTGACAGCTGCCCGATAACACAGACAATAAAGAGGAGAGCTTGCATTCAATGAAAAAGGAGCACGGGAAAATATATATTTCTGAATCAAAAGCAGGAAGTTTACACTTTTACACCAGGTTTTTATATTCTCAGAAGTTTATAATTCATTATCAACACAACACACCCACTCATTCTTTTTAGTTCCTGTTAGTCGGACTTTCTGCTATGGTACAAATAGTGTTCAAGTAACAGATTGATTTTATGGGTTTGCATTGTAATTTTTATCATTATAATATCCTTATATTAACTACTTATGATTTGTTTGCTGGAAGGCTATATGCCAATACTGCAATTTAAAAAATAAATATTCCTTAAGAACTTCAAAGTGTACTGTAATGTTTATTCACAGGAGTAATTTCTGTTGGCTCCAATGGTATTGACAGCCAAATCTGACCCTAGGTTCTGCCTCAGTTTACCTTCCCAATAAGCAACCGAGTTGGAAGATCATTTAAAAGTAGTTTATTAGGGTACCCTGTTAAAGTGGTATCTCCCTATGAAAAAGGAGAATCTCGAGCCCCATGTTACATTCCTTTTTATAATAATCAACAGAACAAAGGAAATACAAGAGGAAAGTTGATTGGATAGGATAAAAGTAACCTCCCCTTTGCATAGGAAATCAATGACATGTACTCAAATATGTTACACATTGGCATCTCATAATATCATACATGTTAATTAAAATGAGGTCTGATGGTCCTGAAGAAGGGGCGTAAATTATAAGGAAAAAGGTTGTATGGAGTTCATGAAAGAGACCCCAATTTGTACCAACAAACCTTTTTTGATCTGGAGCTAGTCTCCAGCCTGTTTATCAGTTTTAGGATTGTTAGAAACTAATAAAACCTGAACATCATTTTAAAAGAGAGAAAATAAATCAAATTAAAATACAAGTTAGTTAGCAAGTTACAAAATCCATGTCATGTGCTCCTCAGTAAGGAAAAGAAAGGAAAAGAAAGGAAAAGAAAGGAGTCTGTGCGGATATTACTCCACTAGTCGCCGCTGACTATAGGGGGCAGCACTCATCTCCATTTCAAGGCCATGATCCAGCAGTCCCCAAAAAGGTTCTGCGGTCATTCTCCCCAACAAAGTGGTACCTATTTATCTATTTGCATTTGCTTGCTTTCAAACAGCTAGGTGAGCAGGAGCTATGGCAAGTAATGGAATTCACCCCGTCACATGGGACTCGGTCTCAAACCTGGGCTGCTGGCTTTCCAGCCAACAAACCCAGCATTTTAACCACTGAGCCATTGTGCCACTCCTCATATACTGTAAACCCAAGGAATAATAAATAATAAAATTACCCAATATATAATTAGATTAAATAACCTTTAACTAACCTTTAAAATAGATAAATTTTGAGAGCACAGCAGAATGAATTGCCAGACTTCTACCAATTATATTAGATGAACTGACTAGAAAGTTTTTCCAATTAACGTGAAATCCTACAGTTCAATCTAACATTATATAAATGTTTGATGGGGAATTGGAGTGGAACAATTTCCCACAACTGGACAGAAATTCTGAGAAAAAATATTAAGGTTACTCTAGACAAATTATTAAAAGTTTTTTATTATTATTTGATGGACAATTTAGAGCTGATTGATATATGAAGACAGAAAAAATGGCAGTTTAAGTGAGAACACATACTTTCCTGAAAGACGTAAATCTTTTTCAATAACAGACATGATTTGGGCCTCAAATAATTTGGCTTCTAAGGTTTCTAAAACACAGATGTTACTAAAGAGTTTTTCAGATCATAATCCTGTGAGTTTGGTTTATATAAAAAAATCTAATTCTTTTAGATGGAGACTAAATGAAATATTGGAATAGAAAGAAGCAATTATGGAAGACTGTGAAGAGAAATTAAAAGAATTTGTCAAAAACAGTTTATGTTAATGTACTGATTTAGGAATGGTTTGGAGTGCAAGAAAAGCTTTTATTAGAAGTTAGTTTGAATAACATGACAGCGAATTTAGAAAAGTCAAGAAAAATACAGGTTATTTTGAATGAAATAAACAGGATTCAGGCCAGGGTATGGATTGAGACCATGCTCTCGGAAGATCTCTGGTGAGAGCAGAATAGGGGTAGTGCACCCATCCTTGCTCTTAGTAGCCTTCAGTACCATTGATCATGGTATCCTTCTGAAGCAGTTTTGGGAGTTGAGGGATAAAAGTGTTGATGTTAACAGATTAAGAGTTGGAAGGGGCCTTGTAGGTCATCTAATCCAACCCCCTGCCCAAGCAGGAGACCCTACACTATTTCTGACAAATGGCTGTCCAATCTCTTCTTGAAAGCCTCCAATGATGAAGCTCCCAAAACTTCCGAGGGAAAGCTGTTCCATTGGTTGATTGTTCTCACTGTCAGAAAATTTCTCCTGATTTCCAAGTTAAATTTCTTCCTTGTTCAGTTTCCATCCATTATTCCTTGTCTGGCCTACAGGCGCCTTGAAAAATAGTTTGACTCCCTCCTCTCTGTGGCAGCCCCTCAAATATTGGAAGACTGCTATCATGTCTCCCCTGGTCCTTCTCTTCACTAGACTAGCCATGCCCAGTTCCTGTAACCGTTCTTCATATGTTTTAGTCTCCAGTCCCCTAATCATCTTGGTTGCTCTTCTCTGCACTCTTTCTAGAGAGTCTCAACATCTTTTTATAGTGTGTTGACCACGTGGTGGGTGACACAGTATTCTGCTGGTTCTCCTCCTTCCTCTGGGGTCAATTCCATGCTGTTGTTAGGGGAGGAGCATGTCTACAGTCAGACCACAGCTCCTACTTTATGGGGTGCTGCAGAACTCGGTCCTCTTTCTTATTTAAAACCTACATGAGGTTGCTGAATGAGGTGATTCGATGATTTAAAGAGATCAGTATGCTCATCGTAGTCAACTTTACATTGCCACTCTAGGGTAATGCTGAGGATGTCCTGTCTCAGTGCCTGGAGGCTGCATGGGGCCTGGATGGGGCACAATGGGCTTTGGATCAACCCAAGCAAGACTGCGTGGTTTTAGGTAATTATTCCTTTCAGTGTCAAGGTTTTTCCAGCTTTGCTCCTCGATGGCATGGTACTGGCGCACAATCTGCGGCTCCTCTTGGACTCACAGCTTCTACTGGAAGAATAAGTAGTAGCCATGACTAAGAGGGCTTTTGCACACCTTTTGGTTGCAGGCCGGTTGTGCCCATTCCTAGTTTTGCTGTGACTTATGCCCTCGTGATGTGACGTTTAGATTATTGCAAGATACTCTACGTGGAGCTGCTCTTGAAGAGCATTTGTCCAACTGGGACAAAATGCAGATGTATGGGTAGTAAATGGTGTCAGATACTTGGCACACATAACACCATTGTTTTTTGAGTTGGATTGGTTGCCGGTGTGTTTCCAGATGCAATTCAAGGTGCTGGTTGTCTTTTTTTAAAGCCCTTCATAGCCCCTCAGGGAACACCTTCTCCTAGATGTTTCTCCCTGCCCAATTAGGTCACTAGGATGGGCATGCTCTGGATCCCATCAGCCAAAGAATATTGACTGGGAGGAATTAGGAAGCATACCAGCATACCAGAATGCCAGGAAAAATGACCTAATGGTTTATGTTTTGATGATGAGGCAGGATAGAAAGAAGAAAGTAATTTGTAACCTCAGAGTAAGAGGTAAATATACAATTAAGATAAGATTTATTGCCATTTACCAGTATACACAACACATTAATATGAAATTCTGATGTTGCACTCTTGAAAGAAGGAATGCCACCCACCAAACAACGTCACCATCCCAAGATAACAATAATAATATAATAACAGCAGCAGCACCAAAAATGCCAAGATATACAAAAATGACACCAAAACCTACATTGATCATTGTCCATTTTGAATACATAGTGGAAAAAAGAGACTTGAGAGTTAAAACAAGGTTAATACTATATGGAATAAAGCTGTTATAGAATCTAGTTGTTCTGCTTTGGACATCACAAAGCCTCCTCCCAGAAGGCAACAATGAAAACTGATCATAGACAGGATGTGTAGAGAGACCCTGACAACACTACGGACAACACTATGGTCAAGCAGCGCTTATATGCCATGTCTTGATAGAAGGAAGTGAACTTCCAATAACCTTTCATGTCCCCCTCACCACTCTATGCAAAGCCTCCCTGTCCAAAGCAGTAATGTTTCCCAACCAACCAATAATACAATGCTCTCTATCATCCCTCTGTAGAAAGTGGTAAGGATTGTATTTATAATATCTATAAAATCAGAAACTATATCTTTGTATATTTTCCTTTTTTATTTTTCTTTTACTCTCCCCCACTTTCTTACACTTTTTAGCTTTCTCTTTTATTTCTTTTTCTTTTCTTTTTCTAGCTTTATATTAGTTTCTATTGGTTTTTAAACTCCCTTTTCCAAAATCTTTTAATAAAGATCATATTAAAAACTAACATTATAGAAGGTTTCCATTCACAGACAGAAGCCTTTCTTAATGTTCTCTAAACTCTCTTCCATGTGTGTTTGCTTTCGCTTATTAAAATATAGATCATAAAATATTTGATCATGGACCAAACACACACATAAATTTTAAAAAGCAAAAAAAAGGTGCATAATATGAGTGTTTGCTAAAAATTATTTATGGCTGAGCTAAGCATCCCTGGGCAAGTGATCATGTTCAGAAAATCTAACTGCCATTGCTATATTACAAAGTTTGGCTACAATTCTAGATATTTCAGATAATAATTCAGAATAATTTGAATAATTTGTCTTAATATTTCAGTTTCAGTGCCTGAGCAGATATAGCAATATAAAGCAACTATTACGACTGTTTTATAGATCTTTTTTGTACTAAAAATAGATATTTAAATATCAGTACTTCTAAAGAGATTTCACATCGATTTTGCTTGGGCAGCAGTCAGTCTCACCTGAAACCAGGTATTAATCCAATTTCTTAACAAAAGACTCAAAAAGAATCAATATATCCGTGGGAAGCACATTGGAGGTGACTTCTCAAATTCCATGGAAATATTTTTCACTGTAGTTTTCAGCTGAAGTTCAATTTCTGCAGGTTTAAGTTACTCTCCAAAAAGCATTCTACTTTGAATGGAGTAGAATGGAGAACCCATTTGGTTTTAGTGGTTAAGGCATCAGGCTAGAGATCAGAAGACCATGAGGTCTAGTCCTGCTTTAGGCATGAAAGCTGGGTGGGTGACTTTGGGCTAGTCACTCTCAGCCCAGACTACCTCACAGGGTGGTTATTGTTGTGGAGAAAATAAGACGAGAGTGGAATATTAGGCAAGTTTGTTGCGTTATTTATAAACATAATAAAGGTGGGATATAAATAAATACACAAAGGAGAATATTTGTAGCTCGGGGTTGAAATAAGGGGTCTTTGGTGCTCTCTGAGCTTGGTGGTTTTCTTGCAGACGTTTCATTACCCAAACTAGATAACAGAAGCACAACATCACTAACACTGATGATGTTACCCAGTTTGGTAATGAAATGTCTGCAAGGCAACAACCAAGCTCAGAGAACATTAAGCATCAAGGACTCCCATAAATATTTCTTTTTTTTTTCTTTTTCTCTTTCCCTTTCCTTTCTTTTCCTTTCTTTCTTTTCCCCACTGTTTAACAGGTGCATGTCAGGCAGAAACTGAATAGAAGACAACCCTGGCTGAACTGCTTTCAATGGAACTAATCCAAAGTACACCAGTTCTGGGCAACAGAAAACTAGTGACCAGTGCAAAGTGTTACTGAGACTGCCACTTTATAAAACTTGGATTTGTTCCTGTGCTTCTCTTAGTTGGTGGTACATAGATATAAAGCTTTTCCCCCAAGGATGGAAAAGAATAGGGCAAGGGGCTGGATTTCTTACTGTGATGTTAAAGGCACAGGTGCATGCATAAAAGCTTTCCCCTGACCTCTCTTCCCTTTCCCCTTTTACCTGCAAGGGATTCCAGGCTCACGAAAAACCAGCATACTATCACGAGGAACTGTAAACTCTTCCGCCCTGGGGTCTCCATGATGGGTTTTAACTCCAGGAAGAAGCATAAGAAAAATGGAAAGGCTTTTAAATGAGCAGCAGGGGAAGTCCCAAGACTGTGGGTGACTCCGCCCCGGTAGGTGGGACATTCAAAGGTCTTGAATTAATTTCTCTCTTTTGGAAAGCCTCTGTAAGGAAGGGGCAGGGGCAGTTCTGGCCAGGGACAATGGACAGTGTGCAGAGATATTGGAAGGGAAGGGAGTTCTGATGTGTGTGTCCACAGTAAAACAGTGCATGCACAGTATATAAGACCATCAATAGTCTAAATGCAGTAACAGGAAATAACTCACCAAGATTATAAAAAAAAATGTTGAGACTCTAGAAAAAGTACAGAGAAGAGCAACCAGGATGATTATGGGACTGTAGACTAAAACATACAATGAACGGTTACAGGAACTGGGCTTGGCTAGTCTAGTAAAGAGAAGGACCAGGGGAGACATGATAGAGGTCTTACAATATTTGAGGGGCTGCCACAGGGAGGAAGGGGTTAAGCTATTTTATAAAGCACCTGTAGGCCAGACAAGGAATAATGGATGGAAACTGAACAAGGAAGAGATTTAACCTGGAAATCAGGAGAAATTTTCTGACAGTGAGAACAATCAACAATCAACCAATAACTTGCCCTTGGAAGTTGTGGGAGCTTCATCATTGGAGGCTTTCAAGAAGAGACTGGACTGCCATTTGTCAGAAATGGTGTAGGGTCTCCCGCTTGGGCAGGGGGTTGGACTAGATGACCTACAAGGTCCCTTCCAACTCTGATTATCTGTTGTCTGTTAAGATAAGGATGCACCTGATGTAACTTCTACTCTGATCAACCCCAAATTCTGCTGTAATTAATCTAGCTGATCTTTAGATGCCCCATAGGAGGCCTCAATCATACAAGCATTCCACCTCCTTCATAACATTTTATAGAGCATCAAAATGTCATTGCCCTCCATGTGAGACACTTTTGTATTTTCCCACTGCTTCTTCCTTCTGGTCCTTCCAGAGAGAAGGATCCATTAACGATAGAAAGATAAAGTCACTGTCCCATTTTACACTGTATTTGCTGAACTTTCCATCCAGAAGCTTCCTCTCTGCCATTGACAGAAATTTGCCATCCCTTAAATATGGACAGGAAAGGTTTTACATTAATGACTTGCTTAGAATTTATCAGCTAGTGGAAATTTAGCCTCCTGAGAAACTGCCTGATAGTAATATACAAAGGGAAATAAATTTGCCTCAGCATTTTTAATATTGCACATGTCTTATATTTTGGGAAAGAAAAGTGCAGTTTGATTTCCCCCTCAAAAAATCACAAAAAAAAAAGAAAAGAAAAGGTACAATGCTGAATAGACATAAAAGAGTGGGGTGGGGGGAGACATTTAGCCTGTATCAATAACAGTTTACCATGTGTAATAATTCTTGGTAACTTTAAGAGGAAGTTTTCATGCTGACCTTATATTTTCATTATTGCAACACACTTGTTTTTCTCCCATCTGTGTTGGCTCCTTCTTTGAGTAGAGCTCCTCCCAGCTGAAGTTTGGTCCCAGAGCCTGAAGACTTCACCATCTTCAAATGCAGAGGGTAAAAATACCTGATTTGCTGCAGTAAATCAAGCAACAGCTTACATAATTAAGAGTGGGCTGCACAGATCCATTAGATGGCAGCAAAGAGACAGCATTTTCTATGCCTGGTTGCTATCAACAAGGGAGCCTGGTTGCTACCAGCAGCTTATCAGTTCTGAAGTAGTAGTTTACTTCTAGTTTTTTTTCCTACCTCAAGATAAGAATTGGTTAAATCCTCCCTCCCTTCTCTCCTTTCCTTGCCCCTTGAAATACCTTTTTCCCTAAAGAGGCAGCAAAAGAACCAAAGAAGGGGAACTCGTCAAATTTGCTGATGGCACTAAACTGGAAAGAATAGTCAACATCCCAGAAGATAGGCTCAAGATCAAGATCTCGACAGACTTGAACACTGGGCCCTATCTAACAGAATGAAATTCATTGTAGAGAAACATATGGTTTTACAATTACACAAGAAAACACAAATGTACAGGTGCAGATTAAGTGAAACCTGGCTCAATAGCAGTAACTGTGAGAGGCATCTTGGAATCTTAGTGGACAATCGCTTAAATATGAGCCAGCAGTGTGCAGCAGCAGCCAGAAAAGCCAATGCAATCCTAGGTTGCATTAACAGAGGGACAGAATCAAGGTCAAGTGAAGCATTAGTACAGTACCACTTTATAAAGCCTTAGTAAGACCACATTTAGAATACTTCATCCAGTTTTGGCTACCCATGTTATGAAAAAGAGGTAGAGACTCTGGAAAGAATGCAGAAAAGAGCAACAAAGATTATTAGGAAGCCAGAGACTAAAACATATGAAGAATGGTTGGAGGAATTTGGTTGATCTATTCATGTGAAAAGAAGGACTGGGGTTGACATAATAGCATTTTCCCATTATCTAAGGCAGGGTTGTCAAACTCACGTCATCACGGTGGCGTCACATGACGTATTGGGACTTCTTTCCCCTTTGCTAAACTGAGCGGGGGCAGGACCAGGACGTGACAAATCCGGCCGGCAGGCCATGAATTTGACAGCCCTGATCTAAGGGGTTGCCACAAAGAAGTGGGTGTCAACCTATTTTCCAAACAAAGCACCTGCAGGCAAGACAAGAAATAATGAATGGAAACTAATCAAGGAGAGAACCAACCAAGAACTAAGGAGAAATTTCCTGACAAAGCAATTAACCAGTGGAATGAATTGCCTACAGAAATTGTGGGTGCTCCATGACTGGAAGCTTTTAAGAAGACACTGGACAGCCACTTGTGTGGAATGTATAGAGTATCCTTTTTGAGCAGGGGGTTGGACTAGAAGACCTCCAAGGTCCCTGCATGTCATATGCATGTTATTCCTAGCCAATTTCTGAGTGAAGAATTGCAAGTTATGATGACAAAAATTGTTGTCTGATCCAAGCTGGGAAAACCTCCTCTATGCAGTTTGAAGATAATATTTTTAGCATGGTCTAAAATGAAGCTGATGTTAAAGATACAATTACAGCAGCCTTGTGAAAGAGGTCCATTGTCCGCCCTACCAATTCTCTGGGGTGCTCTTCCCACAAATCAGGGATCTGATTACGACCAAAGTTGGGAGCAGAATTTCAATTGCTGAGGAAGGTAGTTGTTAAATGAGTCATGTCCAATTTTATAACCTTTTTGTCATGGTTGTTAAAGCAAACCACTGGAGTTAAGGGAATTGTGGTTTATTAAACAAATCCAGCTTCTCCTCCCGGGGCTTGTTGGAGGCCAGCTGGGAAGGTCACAAAAAGGGCAATCACATGACCCCAGGATCCTGCCGCTATCATAAATACATGCCAATTGTCAAGCACCTAGATTTTGAACATGCTACTATGGGGATGCCGCAATGGTTATAGGTGTGGGGACTGATTTGTAAGTCATTTCCCCCCCCCCCACTACCTTTGTAACTTTGAACAGTCACTAAATGAATGGTTGTAAATTGAGGACTACCTGTCTGTGCCTTTTGATTTTTGCAAATCTTTAAAATTCATCTTAACAATAGTATCTGTCTGCTATTTAATTTTCATCCTTATTTGTTATATTTGTGGGGCTGCCACAGAGAGGAGGGCGGGGGAGGGAGGGGACAAGCTATTTCCAAAGCACCTGTAGGCCAGACAAGGAATAATGGATGGAAACTGAACAAGGAGAGGTTTAACCTGGAAATAAGGAGAAACTTCCTGACAGTGAGAACAATCAACCCATGGAACAGAAGTTGCCTTCGGAAGTTGTGGGAGCGCCATCACTTGAGACTTTCAAGAAGAGATTGGACAGCCATTTGTCAGAAATGGTGTAGAGTCTCCCGCTTGGGTGGAGAGTTGGACTAGATGACCTACAAGGTCCCTTCCAACTCTGTTAATCTGTATCCATTTTATTTGGCTGTCTGTTGGAACTACCTGATCCCTGAGACAAGTATGGCCTTTTTTTAAAAAAAAATGATAAAACTCAGGCTCATTCAGAAAGTTTTCAGGAAT